TTGTTGACCTCATAACATCTTGGATGTCTTTCTGTAGGCCAATACAGATTTGCAGTAAGCTCAGATGATAACTCAGAGCTTTGGATCAGTCGGGACTCCAGTCCAAGAAACGTRGAGCTGTTTGCAAGCGTTGGTGATGTAAGTTAWATATTCATCTCAATRACGGTTAGTCACCTGCRAACCTACGAAGTTAAGACCGAAAAGGATTGTGGGTAAATACGTCTGACCAATCATCGGACTTTTCTACCAAATACAGTTCTACTTCCTGTGAGCATTCTCAAGCTGCCGTTTTTTTAATATATAAAAAGAAGATTTGCTTAAATTGTTTTATATAAAAGATTTGTCCCGACCACGATCCTCAACGATGTTAGCTTTGAACGTTTTGGTGACTAACTTCATCGGAAATAACGAAACAATAAATAATTAATCGAGGATGACATGCATTACTGGTAGCCCAGTAGTTTACATCATGGCCCTCCTACAATTAATTAATGAAAGTGAAATGAATGATCAAAGAAACATAAAGTGTGTCCAGGACAAATACAGTCTCAGCTAGTGGCCACAGACTGTATTTATCCTGATTCCTGATTAGTTCAGATTCAGTTTCTCGACCATGCTTGTAAATATCCAACTGGTTTGCCTCCTTGCCAGTTGGGATTCTTAAAAAAACTATGTAAACAGTGTAAGAACCAAAGTTGTTATGTCTCTCCTCAATTCGAGGTTTTTTCTCTGGGTTTTCCAGTTTTCCTCCCTAAGTAAAACCTAAACCCGTTAAATTCCAATCAGTCCATCTGTGAGTTAGCCGTGCCTTGACTTAGATCAGCCCATAGGTGGTTGTTTCAGGGTTCCATCTGTGAGTTAGCCGTGCCTTGACTTATATGTCTTATATCAGCCCATAGGTTGTTTCAGAGTTCCATCTGTGAGTTAAAAGTAGCGTGGCTGAGATCACCGAGCAACTGTCTAAAGCAAACAGTCTCCATGCATAAGATATCAATGTCTTGTACCCACGAAATTTGAATTGGAAAGATATATCCTCCGGCTACTTTAAGATTCCCCACAATACATTGAGGTAACCATGGGAAAATCGCTCAAATTTTCATCCCTTTTTCGTAAGTCACTATAAATATTTTATTTAACCGTTATGGTTTTACTTTTGAGCCGGTAAATAGCTTATGAAGAGAGGATACAATGATATAATTAGGACCATTAAAGTGCTTATAAACCTTTGCACAATATTTTCAGAATTGATTCTTTAGATAGTGAATAGTTGATTGTGAAAATATTTCGTCATTTGAATGTTGGGTCTTTAAGATACGAAGGTTTATATTCTCAATATGGTAATGACTATGAAGTAACGTAAGGGAGCATTTAATATACAACACTGCACTCGTTCTGGAATACAGTATTTTAAAAGCATCACCCTTGTACTCGTGACTCACGTAAAGGTTCTTACAAATTTGTTTTCAAAAAATGTCCAGCGTTCAATATCAAAAATTGCCACAAAATAACTCAAATCCCTTATGTTACGTCATAGTCATTAACATATTGGAAATATAAACCTTYGTATCTCAAAGACCCGACATTCAAATGACGARTTATTTTCACAATCAACTATTCACTATTTAAAGAATCAATTCTGAAAATATTAAGTAAAGGCTTATAAGCAATTTAATAAAAATGAAACCATTAGCAATATTCATAGAGTACAAAAAAAGCGAACGAACTTTACTTTAAAAAATGTAATACTTGAAGAATAACAAAAAAAAAGCAAATATGAATTGAAAATTACACTCTCTGTAATGCTCTGAATGCTTCTTAATGCTCTGAATGTGGGAAAAACTCAGAATGAAATGATAATCAATAGTTAGAAAAGCAAATGTATAAGAATCATCTGATTGAAAAACTTTTTTCAAATTTCCGACAGTTAAAACCTAAAAACAATTGACAAACTCGCCAACGGGATAGAACCGCAAAATCATTCAAAATTAGTTGCTATATTTTTTGTATTAAGGACGTACGCGGCCATTGTTTCTGCGCATCCTTCAGTTCTGAACGCACTCTCGAGCTCTTTTAAATGAGCGAGGAACGCCTGGGTGATTAAGAATAAAAGATAAAGGATCAAATTCAAAATGGCGACCCAAATTTTCAAAGTTTGCGGCTACATCTCCAAAATAAATACCGTAACCCCCATTTTTCTTCTTTGTATTTAGAAGGGGGTGGGGAATTACACGAATTTTACTAAAAGAATCCAGCCTCTATTATACAAGTTGATTCGAATTCCATACAATTTAGTTGCATCGTGAGCAAATAAAAAGTTTCATTAGTGTTTCGTACTGACTTTTACTTCTTCAAAAATGAGTTTGTTCTTAAAATGTGAAGGATAATACTGTTTTTTCAGGTATTTGTCATCATCACCATCATCATCACCACCACCATCACCATCACCATCAATATCATAATGACCATCATCATCATCATCATCATTATCATAATCATCATATATTACTGCCTATTCTGACGTGCTGCTTTTTCACGCAGCCTGACTCAACTAATGGAGCTGCGACAATACCAAGAAACTTCCGTGATTACAAAAATCAAATATCACAAATAATCAAGTAAGTATAGATAAAGTGTGGTGTAGTTAACCAGTGATCTGGATTTTACTCAGCTTCGAATGATATTGGTCATGACCTTAACATTAGCCGTCACCTTGACTTTGACCTGGACTCTAAAACTAAAAATTTTCACAACTTGGCCAACACAACTCAAGACGCCTACTGGGTTTTTGTCTTCCGTCAATCAAAAAATATTGCGGGCTCAGATCAATGGAAAATAAATGTACGGGATTCAGACTGAACCAAGACGTCATGAAATAAGCGGTCTCGCAGTTGTGTAAAAACGACGACGCCGCGGGTATCACTTTCCCCTTTCCCCAAAAGCAATGTTGGTCTATGACATTTCTAGCTTTTAAAGTGGTTGGCTAGTAAAATTAATGCCAGTAGGTAATATTGGTACGTGGGATGAGGGGAGGTGGGGTGGTGGCAGAATAGTCGGTGGCACACTAAATTTTGGAGGAGATTGTAGCTTAAATTCCCCTGTTTTAGTCTTACAGCTGGACAAGACTATTACCTTGAGGCTCTTCATCGAAACCAGGGTGGTAATGGACACCTCACTATAGCTGTAAGTAGATTATCATGAACTTTGACCAAGGTCTAAAGAGTGGTTCTGACTTCATTGCTGGATGTAGGGGTGGTTTGAAGGGTTCGTCCGAACCCCCTAAACTGCATACGAACCGCCTAAATGAAAAATAAGAACCCTCTTTTTAGGCCATCTTTATTTTATTGAAGCCCCTAAAAGACAAAATTAAACTCCGATATAGAATTATTTAGTATCTGTCTAACAAATAAATTAGCCAAGGCAATCTACAAGGTTTTTTTTTTTGGTCGGCTAATTTTTTTACCGAACAGCCTTACCCAAAATGCACTGCAAACTGATAGATGTGCAAAGAGTCTGTTAGGTCTCTTCCTTGCTTAGAGAGTGTTTTTAGTCTCCGAATTCTTGGAATTTTCAGAATTTTTGAATGTGCGTCAATACGGGAAACAAAATCAATGCAACTTGCAGCGCAACATTGTTGAGTTAACAACAAAATCGATTAAAATTAGTTTTTACTGAAAGCTCGAACGATTAAATAATATTAAAAGGATTAACACATAACAATCTTGGTTTGGGTTACTTTAGTAAGTCATCGGTAAGTGAATTATATGAATTTACATGAAATTAATGAACCATTTATCATCAGTGTTATATATATTTTCAGTGGCAGACACCAGGAATGAAGGACAACGACTTTACTGTGATTGATGCCAAACTTTTGTCTTTATATTTGCGTAAGTAACGACTGGATGCTAATGTAATGTTGCTTTGATGTCTGATAACAAGCAACATTCATCTGCCAAACAACCCACTAACAAATCCACCAACCCACCAACCCACCAACCCACCAACCCACCAACCCACCAACC